GCTGTTGAATTTCTCACTTTAGACTTTTTAACTCAACACAAGTATACTTTTCAATAGGTTTCAAATTCAGAATAAAAATTTCACCTTTTAAAATATTCAGCAAATATATTTTCAAACTCTCAAATTCAACAATCAAAATTCAGAGCATAGAATTCACAACAAAGATCCAAGACGCCAAGGCAGAAGCAATCGATCCTGTGTGTGTGATGAGGACAGACACTGTTTCCTATTGGCCGTTCTCATCTGTGGACAGGGCTTACACTTAACAAATCAAAGAGATGAGGTTTTGATGAGGCTGATTCTGACCAATCAGATCGCTTCACTGCACCATTTCCTGCTCGTTACTAAGTTAGATCGGATCACTTTAGATTGATTCGATTGCTTCGGCCTTGGCATCTTGGCTCTTTCCTGCACATTTTTTCCACTCTGAATTTTGACTGCTGACTTTGAGGACTTGAAAATATTTGTGCTGAATAGTTAAAAGTTGTTTTTTATATTGAATTTTAAACACTTTGAAATTGTACACTTAAAATTTCACCAACTGACATTCAGAATAAAAGTAATTCAAATTCTGCAATATTTAAAACTCAAAACGTGATGAAACAAATGATCTTTCATAACAGGCCTGCAGTCATTTTATTAGGATTATAAGGATTGACGTGGGCAAGAAGTTAGTGCATGAGTGAGTCATCTGTCGTTTTATAAATACACGGTTTCTTAGTACAATTTTCTGTATAAATAGTTGTTTTTTTGCATGAGCTTCCCCTGTAGGTGGAGTCTCGTGAGTGCTGTTTGGGTCAGATACACAGAGATACATAATCGTTTACGTATCATCCCCTTTGTAGTTGTCTAATCAGCAGGGTATATATTATTAAGTCACCAAGAACGCATTTATAGCCATAATTATAACATTGTACTTCATGGTTCAAGTTGTAAATCATTAAGAAACCCACATGTTAGTTTTAACCACAAGAAGTTCCAAATGGAGAACTGGGGTTTGAACAATCACAAACAATATCACTGAATCAAAACGCAAACGTAATAAATTATAAACACGGCAATGCTTTTCTTTTTACTTCTACTATTCTTATGGAGACGTTTCTATAAGTGTCATAAAGAATAATGGTGGGACTATTACATTTATGGCTCAGTAAACAGCATGTGGAGAGAGCAATGGGTGTGTGCATGTGTCAGTGTCCTACCTCTGTCATTACCACTGACGGATCCTGTATTACGCAAACATTGACTCTTGTGAGCTTTAGTCGTGTTATAATGTTGTTACCTCCTCAAAAATATAAGCAGAGTTGTGTTTTGTTTCATTCAAACGTTTGAGTAATCCTGTATTATTGGCGGTGTTGGAGTAATAGATTACATGTACCGGAGTTACGTAATCAGAGTACAAATTATGAGTAACTGTATTCAGTTACAGTTACTGTTTCAGTGAGTGGTAATTGGATTACAGTTACTTTGTTGAAATAAATGGATTCCATGGCGGTATTTTACTGTTTTCACATTTTGGGCTATATCCCTTTTTTTTTCTTTTTCTCCGTAATTCCACTTATTGCTGGAAACTAAACCAGGTCTAAACCAGGTCTAAACCAGGTCTAAACCAGGTCTAAACCAGGACTAAGCCCGGACTAAGCCCGGACTAAGCCCGGACTAAACTAGGTCTAAACTAGATCTAAACTAGGTCTAAAACCAGGTCTAAAACCAGGCCTAAACCAGGCCTAAACCAGGCCTAAACCAGGCCTAAGCCCGGACTAAGCCCGGACTAAACTAGATCTAAACTAGGTCTAAACCAGGTCTAAACCAGGTCTAAACCAGGACTAAACCAGAACTAAGCCCAGACTAAGCCCGGACTAAACTAGAGCTAAACTAGATCTAAACCAGATCTAAACCAGGTCTAAAACCAGGTCTAAAACCAGGTCTAAAACCAGGTCTAAACCAGGTCTAAACCAGGTCTAAACCAGGACTAAAACCAGATCTAAACCAGAACTAAACCAGAACTAAACCAGAATTAAACCAGAATTAAACCAGGACTAAACCAGGACTAAACAGGACTAAACTATCAATAATATTTTTTATTTAGTTAAGTAAAGTCTGGGCTTTTTATTTTCTTTTAGCAAACAAATCATCTTATGTTACGATTTCCTCTTCTTTGCTTCTCTACAGCAAATCAAATAATCCAAAGTATTCAGATTACATTACTCACTTTAAGTAATTTAATGGATTCCGTTACAAACTACATTTTGGGGTGTGTAATCTGTAATCTGTAGGGGAATACATTTTAAAAGTCACCTTCCCAACACTGATTATTGGTCTGTTTGCATCTCCAAATCTCAAAATGCTCTTTTCCACCTTATGTCATGTAATTTTACCTTTGGTTTAGTAAAGATCAGCAGTTCCAAGGTTGAAATTATCAAGATGATTTTAGTGAAGGTGTATGGAATCTAAAACACAGTGGAGTACTTCCTGTATTACCACATGAAATCACAAGGTGGAACTGGACTGTTTTGTGTTTTGCTGTAGAGAAGAGCTCATCTTGAATCTGCAGGGTTTGTGTTTGTAAGGTTAAACATGTATGAATGAAACAAAACACAACTTCAGGTCTGTTTGTGATGAGGAAATCACATTAAAATGATCATCATTATTATTACTATCTGCACTAATCTACATAAATAAATTCAACTTTATGACGTATAAGCCGTAACCACTCTAGAGCCACAGCAATCTGTTTGACATTATAATGTGTTTAATTCAGTTTTGCGCAACTCTCACAGAAACAAAACTTAAAACCGCATCACTAATTTGCATAAACTAAGTTAAAATAAAACTACAGCTCTTGTCCACTGATGCGGTCAATTTCTGTTGGATTAAAAGACATGACTCAGTGGAATACAGGTTAGTGTGACCATATTTGTGTTTGTCAAAACCAGGACACCGTACGGGGGGAGGGAGGTGGGGACTCGTCATCGACATTGCGCGACTCTCATCTGGCAAAGTTTTTTCCCACTGGACAAAGACACATATGTGCTGCTTTGTACACTGTGCACATTTCCTCCCACTTGTTCCGAACGCAACGGAAAGCGTGGAATTTCTTGTACAAGTCATCGTTAAACACACATTTGTGCTTCGGTACGTTGCAGACTGACCCACTGTTTGTGTCTCGCTCCTTCTGAGTGCAGAGAAACATGTACAGACCCTGTTTGGTCACACTACATACAGCAACCTACATTCAGTTTGTCGATTAAAATGAATGTAATCGATACAATTCTTAATGATCAATTATCGATTAATCGACCAATCATGCCCATCCCTAATCTGGATGCATATAGGCATAGTATATATTCACCCAACTATGAAATAATGCTGTTGTGCCATATTCACATCTGTATATACATAATGGATCTTAAAATCTAGCCCATGTACAGCCCACCAGAAGCAAGAGACTTAATAATAATATAACACATGGAGACAAAAAGACGCTTAGATTAAAGTCATCATTGAGTTGAGATTTGTCTGGCTTAACACAAATACATTTTTCTGCGCATGTCTGCAAGATTGTTACACATATAATGATCCTAAAATGTTGTATATTTAATCTAATCCAGTAGAAGTCATTGCTTTGGCTGGAATGTTCCATAGTGTGGCTTTAAAACATATCGATCTTGCATTAAAGGTTGTATAGAGGATTTTTTAAGGGAAAAGAAATACAGCCACAGTCCTTTTTCAAATGTTGTACATGCGTGACACCACCTTCCTCCTCCACGTAATCCCCGCGCGCCGCGAGTCAGTTACACTAGAAATGTAAGGAATTTGATTGACAACCTAACAGCCAATAGATAAAGAGGGAGCCTCATTGTCTATTGGCTGATGTTTATCTGGCCTCACTACGTCCACAGTTGATGGATTTTCATTCTTTTTTTTTTTTGTCATCATAATTACAAGGCTGCTGCGTCTCTGTAATGGTATTTTAAACTTTCACTGACAATTTGAAACTAAAAACAAATCCTCCATACAACCTTTAATTCCATCGCAGTTGTTTTTATTGCTCAAAAATACCCAGAACATCACACATTATTACAATAAGCAGGATTGCATCGCCACAGATCTGACCTGCAACTTGGTCTGATGTCTTGTTGCCATGTTTAATACCCTACAGCACCACAACCCTCCACTAGAAAAGTTACGTAGTGCAGAATTACATAGAAAAGCGTAATGAAATGTAATGAAGGTTTGCACATAACTGCTTGTAATTTAAAGATGCATTGCGTAACTTTTCTGGAGATTTTTTACAATTTACAATTTTACAATCTGAATTTTGACTTTTGAATTTGAGGGCGTGGAAATATCTGTGCTGAATATTTAAAAGGTGATTTTTTTTTTTTTTTTTTTTTTTTTGAAACATTGAAAAAATATACTTCAAATTTCAGCAACTAAAATTCAAAATAAAAATAATTCAAACATCTTTTTACGGATTAAAAATTCAAAGTGAGAAATTCAGTCGTAAAATCTGATAAAATAAATTATCTTCCATAGAGTTACTTCACTTTTGTACACCGTAAATCATCGTGCCAACCTATTCTACACTAACTGGGCTTTCCCGTTCACCGATCCGTGCCAACTATTACATAATCGCACGCTCTACTTCCTAGACCCAAAACTCTCGTGCAAACTTTCATAACATCGCGACAAAACACAGACTTTTTCCACCGCTTCACTGCTCCGTGGGACTATGGACCTTTTTTTATGACCCGCTGTCCATTGCGGAAAATCTCAGCAACCGGGCGTCAGAAAAGCAAACTTCACTTCACGAGAGAGCGTTATAATTTCCACAAACACAGCGCTACAGCTTGCAAACAAACCTGCAAGTCCTGTTAAACACATTTAAGATGAATATGCATGCAATGTTTTTAAAAGACACAAGCAGGAGCGCGCGGTTTAGACGTGCCAAATGCGTAAAAGTCGTGCGTAAAATGAGATTATAACGTTGTACTTACGGTTTGTGGAAGAAATAACGGAGAAGGTAGTCGTGAATGGAGAGAATAGAAGGATGAGTGCGGCAGACGACTCCGCAGTGAAGAGTTTTATCCACGAGAGAGAGAGAGGTGGGTGTGTCCGGGCTGCTGCGCCGTGGGGGAACTGGATTCTGATTGGTTGAGAGATCCAAACGAAGGAAAGATGCTCGGTCCAGACGTAAATAAAAGGTTTTAACGAGGAAAAAGATGGAAGAGGAACGTGGGGGGAGGTCTGCTCAGTTACATTTACTCTGTTACATTTACTTGAGTAACTATCATGCACTTTCCCCTATTTTAGTCATATTTTTTAATAACTCAATACTAAATGTAAAAGTTTCGGATGCTCTTCCCACTGTGAGTAAGTCTACAAGTGGCAAAAACTTTACGTCGATAATATAAAATTATGTCAGATATGATTTACTTTTTCTCATTTTTGTGTCTGACTTTTGAAAATACCTGACTTTAAAAAAAATTATGTCGACCAGTGAGTCTCCAGATGTAACATCAAGTAAACCAGGTCTAAACCAGACTATTACAGGTTTAGACTAGGACTAAACCATTTTAAAACCATATTATTACAGGTTTACACTAGGACTAAATTATTTTAAAACCGGATTATTACAGGTTTAGACTAGGACTAAACCATTTTAAAACTGGACTATTACAGGTTTACACTAGGACTAAACCATTTTAAAGCCGGATTATTACAGGTTTACACTAGGACAAAACCATTTTAGAGCCGGATTATTACAGGTTTACACTAGGACTAAACCAGGTCTAAAACCAGATCATTACTATTAAGGACATTTACACATTTTTTATTTTTTTTTTAAGTGGACATAAATCATTTTTTAATCTAAATAAATAAAAATTAAAATATAGAAAAAAAAATATGTACAAACAAAATCGGTCCATAACTTTTTGAGTTATGTTGCTAACAGACAAACAAACAGACAAACGCCGGCAAAAACATAACCTCCTTGGCGGGGGTAATGAATAAATTAGAAAAAATAAATGCAAAAAAAATATAAAATGTGTAAATAAATAATATAATAATAATCCATCCGTCCATTTTCTTCTTATCTGGGGCTGGGTCGTGGGGGCACCAGTCTAAGCAGGGACTCCCAGACTTCCCTCACCCCAGACACTTCCTCCAGCTCCTCCAGGGTGGACCCCTGAGGCGTTCCCAGTCCAGCCCAGAGACATAATCCCTCCAGCGTGTCCTGGGACTTCCCCGGGGCCTCCTCCCAGTGGGACATGCTCAGAACACCTTTCAAGGGAGGCGCCCTGGAGGCATCAGGAACAGATGCCCGAGCCACCTCAACTGGCTCCTCTTGATGTGGAGGAGCAGCGGCTCTACTCCGAGCTCCTCCTGTGTGACTGAGCTCCTCACCCTGTCTCTAAGAGAGCACCCAGCCACCCTGCAGAGGAAACTCATTTCGACCGCTTGTATCCACGATCTTGTCCTTTTGGTCATGAGACAGAGCTCATGATCATATAATAATAATAATAATAATAATAATAATAATAATAATACAAAATAAATATGCACACATAAATAAAAGTAAAAATCTATAAATTAATATAAAAATTACAAATAAGCATATTTTAGCAGTTTATCCCCAAAATGTATGCATTCATGTGTAAAAGCCTGTATTTATTTACACGTTTATATTTTTCACCATTTAACTTAAACATTTTCAATATTTATTCTCTTATTTACTTATTTTTAATGATGTCATTTTTGAACCGACATATGGTGAAGATAAAAAACACAAAATAAAAAATCATATTAATATTAGATAACAAATGAGCCTTTCTTCTTATCAGGTTTTATAAACAGACATAAAATCCATTTATATAAAATTTATTGACTTGTAGCTGCAGTAAATGTTCACCTCAGTGAAACTTTACACACGTCATGTTTATTCAGAAGATTGTCCTCACTGTGATGGACACGAGACACACTGAGACTGTGTCCTTGGGCAAGACACTTCACCCACATTGATTAATATGAATGTGAGGTGTGTTGGTGGTGGACAGAGGGGTGATGGTGCAGATCGGCAGCCTCTCTTCAGTGAATCTGTCCCAGGGCAGCTGTGACTATGAGTCATACTTAAATTGTTTCACTTGTTTAATTCTTGTACCCAGACAGAGACACTACTGATCCCAAAGGAAAGGAAAAGAAAGCCACTACTACTACTACTACCACCACTACTACAACTACTACTACTACTACCTCCACTACTACAACTACTACTACTACTACTACTACTACCTACCACTACTACTACTACTACTACTACTACTACCTCCACTACTACAACTACTACTACTACTACTACTACTACTACTACTACTACCACTACTACCACTACACTACTACTACTACTACTACTACTACTACTACTACTACTACTACTACTACCACCACTACTACAACTACTACTACTACTACTACTACTACTACTACCTACTACTACCACCACTACTACAACTACTACTACTACTACTACTACCACTACTACTACTACTACTACTACTACTACCACCACTACTACTACTACTACTACTACCACTACTACTACTACTACCACTACTACTACTACTAACTACAACTACTACCACCACTACTACAACTACTACTACTACCACCACTACTACCACTACTACTACTACTACTACTACTACACTACTACTACCTACTACTACTACTACTACTACTACTACCACTACTACACTACTACTACAACTACTACTACTACCACTACTACTACACTACCACTACTACTACTACACCACTACTACTACTACTACAACTACTACTACTACTACTACTACTAACTACTACTACTACTACTACTACTACTACTACTACTACCACACTACTACTACTACTACTACTACTACACTACTACTACAACTACTACTACTACCTACCACTACTACTACTACACTACTACTACTACTACTACCACTACTACTACTACCACTACAACTACTACTACACCACTACTACTACTACACTACTACTACTACTACTACTACTACTACTACTACTACAACTACTACTACTACTACTACTACTACTACTACTACCACTACTACCACTACAACTACTGTTACTACTACTACTACTACTACTACTACTACTACTACTACTACTACTACTTATACTTATACTACTAATTCTACTAATAAAACTATAGCAGTAATTCATTATTTATTCATAGTATGTGTTGTGTATATTTTGTCAGACTGTCAGAGCCCGGGCTACATGCACTTCTTTTAAAGCTGCATTGTGTAATTTTTCTGGTGGTGGATCCGTCAAACACTTTTCTCCATGGAGATGTTGCTTTGTTTTGAATGTTTCACAGTATGGCATTAAACCTTTCTATCTTCATGGAGACCAAACCAGACCAAGTTACCGGTCAGATCTGTGGAGAGGCGACCACTCTCACAGTCAGAACGTCTGTTTTTCTAAGGATTTTTGAGCTGTAAAACCACATGTAATTGAATAAATGTAAAGTAGAGCTGTTTAATGTCACACTGTGGAACATTCCAGGCAGAGCAATGACATCTCCGTAGAAACAAGTATTTGATGGGCAACCAACCAAAAAGTTACATAGTGCACCTTTAAATGCTTTGAATCTTGCATGTGTGTGTTTTTTTGTTTTTTTCGGAGTAATAAAGGAACATTGTTTGATTAGGGTTGCCATGGTTACAACATTATTTGCTTCTATATAGAAAAAATGGCCAACTATGAAGCTGAAAACACTTTCAATAAGTTACAACTGACTCAGAAATCTCATACAGTTCATTTCAGAAGGCTTAACCTCTCCATATTTTCTAACAAAAGCATTCGAGCGAGAGCAGAGCTGTGGTCTTATCGAGCCCGGTCTGATGTGTGCAGATAACACGCAGGTCTACAGGACAAAGGTCTGCACTTGTAATGACCGGCCGCCTTAGTTAAACCAACATAAAGTGTGTTTCAGGCTTTACTGCAGTCACGTGACCAGCCAAAACAGAGAAAGTGCCTCCGTCTACTTCCTGGAGCGTAATACCACCGGCTTTATCCACATCCCTGCTCCTGTGTCCACCTCACGACTGTCCACCAGCTCGAGTCGCAAACACTGGACGCATTTTTGTGATCATCTCCATGGCGATATTACCATTTTGCCTTGATTATTCCACAGTATGAAAATAAACTTCATAATGGAGACAGGTTAATGGTCAGATCTGTGGAGAAGCGAGCCTACGCATTGTAAGAGTTCAGGTTTTTGAGCTTTAAAACACCTGAAACTGAACAAATGCAAGGGATGCCCAAGTTAGAGGTCAGATCTGTGGAGAAGCGAGCCTGCGCATGGTAAGAGTTCCTGTTTTCTTAAGGTATTTTTGAGATGAACACCTGAAATTGAACAAAAGCAAGGGATGTATACTGTAGGTAACACCCTACTGTGGAACATTCCAGGCAAAGAAATCACATCTCCATGGAGACAAGCAAGTCACGGGTCCTCCAGCTTAGAAGAAGAGGAGGAGGGACTGAGGGGGTTGGTGGTTCTGCTGCTGTGGGAGATTGTGTTTAGAGGTGCACTGCACAACTTTTCCGGTCACGCCATCTACTCGTCTCCATGGAGATGTTATGGCGTTGCCTGGAATGTTCCACAATATGGCATTAAACAAACCTATCTTCACAATGTTGAGCAGATTGCACCAGATCTGTGGAGAGGCGATCTCCTTCACAGTGTCGGAAAACTTCCTCATGAGAGAGTTAGAAGTGCTTGTAAAGAATGTGTGTTTGTATTTGAGCAACAGAAATACTGGTAATGAATAAATACTAGATTTGTACTGTGGAACATTCCTGGCAAAGCAATAACATCTCCATGACAACAAACAAAATCCATCCCCCACGAAAGGTTGGACACTGCACCTTAAGTAAACTTAGTGCACTATTTTTTTTATCTATATTATAATGTTTTTCCTCATTTTGTTTCATTCACACATTTAAAACACAAACCCAGAAGTATGTTAAGGCCAAGTTCTTCTCTTGAATGGAAAATCCCATGTTTTTAAACTTCACACACCTTCAGTAAAATCATTTGGATTA